TGGTGAGACGTTCGGAATTAAAGAATAAACCTTTCACAGCGAACAAAAAGGGAGCGAAGTTGCAGTACCTATCGTGCATGAAATAGATTTGTTTGCAATGGTAGGATAACGAATCTCGAGTAGAGCTCGTAAGGCTAACGAGGTTGTAAGCCGAGTCCTCAGGGTGCGGGAAAAGGCGACTGTATATTGCGGTCGCCTGAGTGTATTTCTAATGAGACGAGAAAGGACGACAGCATGACTTGGTACCCAGAGTATATCTTTGGCAAGACGATATGGAACAGATGTGAGCTGTTGTCATCTATGCCAGGGTCGGTAAAACCTTTTTAATGTGCGTCTTTTGTTCCCCTTATCTTGCTTGATCTCTGCGTGGTAGCGTGGCCCATGCCATTGTCGTTCTTGCCATCGTATCACGAGTAGTAAGAAAATGGTGTGGTTTGGTAAAGCTTCTGTAAAAGCTTGACGTACTTTTGTAATAGTGATGGTAGTTACAATTTTTTTTCATATTATCCCTTATTGGTCTCTGATTCAATAGGCCATCACGCATGCTTTTTTCGGCTAATTTTTCGTTGATAAAACAATACCTTAGGACTTTCTCGACAAGCGCGTTACAAATATACGTCGCACATGAGACAACGCGCAATCTTTTCAGCATGAAGCGTTTAGCAATGTTACAGGAGGTTTCCTGTCTTGTAGAATGCCGGAATAAATTGAAAAAACGACCTCTTTAAAAAAACTGTATCGTCAAAAGCTTGAATTACTTCATGATTATTGTGCCTAAAGCTCAAAATTGCTTCGAAATCGACAAAAGGTTGTAGCTATTGATGATGATGCCGAAAGCTATTCACTTATGAAATTGCACTAAACTGATCAAAATACGACAAAAGTACCCAATTTGTTCAAATCAATAATATGACACATATTTTACAAAACGTCAAGTCTGACGAACACACAACACATATCCGTTATTTTTTCTCATCCATATAAACCGTTTCCCATTACCTGCCAATCACAACACTTTTCCTCAATATTTTGGTCATGTACGTAGCACAAGTACAAGAGTCTTGCCATTTTCGATCAGTCCCCATCGTGTAATTAATCTGTTCATCATGACCATGACAACAACATCCAGCCCAAAATTGCGTACGCTACTGTCGGCATGCTTTTCCGCTAGTGTTCACGGAGGTCGCGTCATTCGCGAAGTCGTACAGCAACATATTGCACTTGATCTGGTGAACAAACAGGAAGGCGCGTACGATCCACAAACTGTAGCAGATCGTCGGTCTCAACAGCGAATTATTTACGCGCTACGTCAGGCATTTCCAAATGTGACTATTGTAGGTGAAGAAGGTGAATTAGCACCTCCAGCACTTGAAGATGCAGTACAGTGCGATCTCCAGGCGCTTGAATCCATTGCGTTCAACAGTGACTGTTCGCTAGACTGGGACGATCTCGTGCTCTGGGTCGATCCGTTAGATGGCACGAAACGCTTTGCAGCGAAAGTATACGAGGAGGTTTCGGTACTTATTGGCATTACGTACAAAATGCGCCCTATTGCTGGCGTCGTGCATTTGCCATTTCACGGTCGATACGGGATCACTTATTGGGGTACATAAGCCACACATTGCATTATTGCAATATAATACTAACATTCTAGCGTGATTATCTAATCAGGTGGTCCAAACGTTGGCGTTTATCGCACTGAACACGGCAAGACGGATGCGCAAGTGACACACATTCCGATGTCGAGTCCCTTGGCTACACGTCCCCATCGACCACTTATCTGCACCGTTTCGTCCACTGCGTGCGACCAAGTGGACAATGTCGTACAATTATTGAATCCCTCTACAGTGTTAACGGGCGGTGCCACAGGCACGATGGTACTAGGTGTCATTATTGGTCATAGTGACGTCTTCTTTCGACTGAAAGCAGCCACTCGCAAATGGGATATTTGTGCTGTCGAGCCTTTGATTGAGGCGCTTGGTGGCAAACTCACTGATACGCACGGTCATGTCTACGTGTACGATCACATCAAAAACGCCCCGGAATATGACAACGAACGCGGACTTGTTGCGGCTTTGACATGTGATACGCACGAGCATGTACTTAACGTGCTGGCCAAGGTCACTTTGACGAGGTAGAAGCCCCTTCTTTAGTGGCGTATCCTTTCAAATAGAATAATTTGGTCTGTATGCCTCAGAGCTTTGGATGGCCAGATGATGACGCCAAAGTGGTTTCAAGAGTATGTGTTTCCAGGACATCAAGTGTCAAAAGTGCATGTCGTTTCAAATTCCATTCATTTTGGTCCACACTCTTCCGTCGTCAAACTCAAGGTACAATTCATTGATCCTAATCGTTCAGTAACAATCTTTCTTAAAAAATCCGCAAGAAATGAGCTGCCAGCACGATCGGTAGCTCAGTGGAAACGTGATCTTGCCTCGTATCGTACTGAAACAAATTTCTACGCACACTTTGTACCATTGTTGCTTGCTCACGGTGTACCTCTCATTCGACCACTTGCAGTGTTTCAAAGTGATCGTGTAGGTCACTGTACACAAAGTCTTGTCGCCACTGTTGCGAACGAGGAACAAAAGTGTACGGACCCTGAAAGTTTTATGTTGTTGCTCGAATGCCTCGGTACAGAAAGCACGGTGCCATCTTCACCATCCGTACACTACGAAGCCGCCGATTGCCTTGAGCTTGACGACACACGACAAGCGTTAAAGTATCTTGCACATTTGCACGCATCGGCATGGGGCCAAGACGAGTTTCTTGCCAAAATTCGTACAGCATTGTGGCCACATGCATGTTGGTGGACATTGCCAAAACGTGGTGAAATGGAACTGGCACAATGTATTGACGTTTGGGCTCGAATGCTCAACAGTTGGCAACAAGTGTTTCGAACCGATGCAACTTTGTCAGCAACGAATGCACTGTCGACAATTGGAGAACGAATGATACAACATGCTGTGTACATTTCGAGTAACCTTCATGACGCAAGTTTGACTACATTAGTTCATGGCGACTTTAAAAGTGCCAATTTATTCTTTGAATCGCAATCGCGTCAAGTGATTGCGTTTGATTGGCAATGGACTGGCTTGGGTCTTGGTGTCCTGGACGTGGCCAATCTTCTTAATACATCGGTGAGTATTTCACTACTGGATACAGACGACAAAGAGCGTGAGGTGTTGCAGTTCTATTACGAGAGTCTGCATGAAAAATTGGGCACGACTCATTTTCATTTGCGTGAAAAGTACCCATTTCCTGCGTTTGAGCGCCATTACATGTTGGCAACATTAGAATATGCACGGATTTTAATTTCTAAGTTTTGGAAAGAGCTGACGCCACAGAAGTGCGAAGCTATGGCGCACAAAACCAACTGTGGACTTGGATATCGGAGCATCCCACACGTTGTACGCATGGTGCGTAAATTGCATCAAGGTTTAGAACGTATCAGTCAAGAGCGACAAGAAAATTGACGACGTTTCTAAATGACATCTAAATTTAGTATACGGATGTAAAGTACTACGATATATGACCTCACGTCATGCTGAAGTGCGAAAATATTAAATGATTTTCCCGGTCTCTCCCTGTATCATGTTGAAAATACGCTCGTCGCAAAGCATTAGCCGATCTCGAAGTCGTGAGGAGATTAGGGCCCACTAAGTCCCGCGATGTCACAGTTCCATCTTCACTAAAGCTAAAGCTACTGCGAGAACTGATACTGGGCGAAAGTGGCGCTTTTGCCACTTCATCGTACGAATTGAGATTTGCGAGAAATTCCATGTATTCTGGAGCTTCTCTAGCCGCAGGATGTGCTTCAATAGCCGCAAGAACGCGCTCAAGAGCCAAACGTTTCTTCTGAAGTGCCGTTTGGGTCTCTCCCACAAAAAAAGTGAGTAAACTATCGTTTGGTAATTTAGGTAATTGCGACTTGCCACCTCTAGCCATTAGTGGCGCCAGTCCTTCGTGCAACCGTTTGAAGTCGTCGAAACTACGACGAATGGTGTATGACTGCGTCGTACATGGTCGCGTCATATACGTGGACGCACTCTCTTTCTTGTTTGTCCGAGCAGGACGCACATTACACGCATCGTCTTGCATGTGACGTGTCACTTGTACCAAATATCGCCACGTGCCAGTTTTGCGGTCTTGTACCAGACCACGGATCGACACAAGCTGCGAGCTCTTGAAACTCTCGTACGGCATAAGTAACAATTGAGGTCTTAACAAGAAAGAAAATGAAGAAATGACTCGGGAGGGCAAATTTCTTGTCGCACGGGGTGAACAAGATCCGGAAGTGTGCGTTGAACGAACGTCCCACTCCGTCGCTTCCCGACTTACAACCTAAGTGACTCGTTTGCAAACGGCAGATCCTATCAAGACGCTTGTAGTTTTAGTCGCCTCCCCGTCACTGCGACAGGCGTTCCAATCTTTAACAATACTACAGTACCTAAGGTTATATTGTAAAACTACAGGTACGGTACTAGCGTGCAAGTTTCTGACTGGGCTCAATAAAACGGTGATGTCATGTTTACGCACGTAAGGGAGGCAACCGATGGCTGATCGTACGGGCTCACACAGACCACAGACGATTTTCTGGCGTGCGAATGGAGCGCCAAAGCTGATTTCTCACTTGAGTGTGGCAGCATACGACATAAGCGAAAGGCGTCAGAGGATATTCAACGTCTAGACTGAGTATCAATCAATATACGCCTTTAAATGAGACATCAAGAAGCGACAGATCATAAAAAACTGTAGACAAAGGTTTTTGTAAAATGGCATGTAATTTTGTCACTCACGGTTGTATTTGCAGTGCCAAGCTTCAATGTTATGTGTCTGTTTGCGATGTTGGTCACCGCGGCACTTACTGGTGCGTCGCAGCTGCAAGGAATATTCCCGTCACGCATAGCATTTTGTGAAGTTTCTCGAACTCCATAAATGATGATAACAATATCTTAGTGATGTGGTCGTAAACAACCTTTTCTGCTCGACAAAAGCTTGAGACGTTCGGTGATGTTCATTGCACTGATATCAAATTAATGTAATGGCAGCAAAATTAAAGATTTGGGTCATAGTCGCCTGCTCTTACATGACAACAAGTGTACTCAAATATCCGTGGCTCTTGCACTACTCTTAAATTCACAATTACACTACAGCATGGCTCACCTTGTCACAAACTTGACATGTTCTTCGGTTTGCGTGAATGTTCTTCATTTGCTTCATTCGATGCGATATGTTAGTGCCATCTACCCTCGCTGACTGCCATCCATGCTTCGGCATAGGTACTACAGTGTTTGACTATTGGATGTAGCAATGGGCTACGTACAATCGCTGAAGCGAATCAATTCATGTTTCATCACATGCGACCAGAAGCCAGAGCGATCTATGTCTATAACGCTACTTGCTGTGAAAACTCTCATCATTCTGAGGTTCAATGTGTCCAATAATCATTAGATAATTGAAAATTTGGCCCAGTGTATATTAAGATAGAGCCCGATAGGATACCACTGTACACTAGTACATTTCTCTGGCATTTTATCGAAAGCCCCTGGCGTCTTTTTATTGAATAGACGCTACAGACGTACCAAACAACTTCTCACATCAACAAAACGGTTTCGCTTTTCTAAGATTTCGTAAGGCTAAAAATTTGATAAAAATGATGTCGTTTTCTGCGCCGTTACAATTTGTCTGCGAGAACCAAGTCGCTTATCATGAAGCTATCTAGAAAATAATTGATGGTTTACATTATTAAATGAAATGGTTTCAGCAGCAACCCAGAAATATGCTTAGAATACAAGCCTAGATGCGTCACTATCATACGTGGATATTTAGCGGATGCAGAAGTTCAATCTTGAACGATTTCAAAAGTGCTTGTTTTGATCTTCAAAACAACTGAGCCGTTTTCTACAACTTTTATATGAGGCTAGTGCAATGAAAGGAGCATATGCACACGACATGCGCATTCCTGTGACTGGTCACCGGTATCATATTCTCATCCGACGCTTAAAATGTGCTTTGAGACCTTACCGCTGTGATTTAGTCAGCGATCGCATCTAACATTTGATTTTCAAACGAAGAATGTTACATTAAATGATTGATTTGGTTGCTAAGTAAGCTTACGCTCCTGCATTTTGTACTTTGCATACCTAATATAAGTTGAATGTCGAGACGGGTATCTGTATATCCTCACGTCGTAAAGTCGTTTATTATAATCAATCAATCCTCACGGAATGCTCGCAGCCTAAGAGCTTATAATCGATGTCTTCCATGATATCATTATCTATGATAGACGACGCACTTGGGTCCCTAAAATTTACCTCCGAAATAATTTCATATTTTTGGAAATTCAGACCTCTCCATGTGTTCTGTTCGAATGCTCCCTCACTGTCAGATGCGGCAGTTTAAGACCGTCCGTCCTCTTCCAAGTTTTGAGGCATAAATGCTTGCAGAACTTATCGTTTGCCATAAGAATAAAGTATTTACTCATTCAAGAATTACGGACAGGATAAAAGACAACAGGACGTTTTGGTCGCCGGAAGTACCGATTTACCTTCCCTCAGTGACCGTTTAGCCTTGGTTGCATTATATTAGGTTTGCGAGTATCTCGCACGAAAAGGAAAATTCGGACCTGAGTAATTAAACTTCGTAGGGCGTAAAATATGGAGTCTGCAAAATAGTTCCATACTGAAATGAAGGATACAGTAGACGTCGTTTTCTCTGTCGTAATTTGCGAGGCCACGGAGTAAATAACTTTATGCTACCAAACGTAGCGAGAAGCCTCTGCTCTATCAAGTAGAGCAAGATGCTGCACGGAAATGTACGTGAGATAAATTTAGATCTTAGCATGGTGGGTATGACAGATTGTGTCAATACCTTGTCCTATTCCTCTTTATATGATATGTTCTTAATGCGTGTACACCTCATCATTTCATGGCTACAAAGGATTGATCCATCCATTTAGTACACTATTCTTTTCATGAATTGCTAATTGTATATTTTCAGCCAAAAAGTGTACTGACGCCTTTTACTCTCACTTGCAGCGCCTGCATGTCTTGTGCTGTTTCTTGGCCACTTCTTCAAACAAATTCCAAACAATGTTATAACTATAGCATTTGTCAAAGCATGTAATTGATTTTGTTATTAGTGCTTGTGTCTCTCCAAGCTCCTTACTTTAAATACTATCTTACGCGTGTGCGAAGTCAATTGCCAATGCGTAGCGTGTCAATATTCACTTCAAGTATAATGAATTGTGCGGCTCTTTCAAAGCGACAAAATGGACTCTCGGCACGGCACGATCCACTCAAGGCTCGATGTCTTGTGGATCGAGCCTGTGCACTGGCCCGATAATGGCGCTAATACTTTTGCATTAATGGATTCGTGACCTAAAAACTCCAATACGTCCGGCAGGTCCCGCGCCACTGGATGATTTAGAATGTCCATGACAATTTGAGTCAAGACTTGGCGACGTTCATCTAAAAGCGCTTGATTGTCGGCCATGATTAGCGTCATCAAACCGTCTGCTGGTAACTCTGTCAGAGCGTCTCCCATAATCGGTACAAGCGCATTATGAAGTTGCTTGAATTCGCTAAACCGCCTACTGATGACGTATTCGTGGGTAAATCCTTCTTCTATCATACCACGCGGTGATGAGTACGTGCTTGTATTGCCGCGTTGTATGTGGAGTACGTACATCCACGCGTTGGTCGATGCATCTTGTACGACTTCAGTGATTTCCACTTGCTGTTGAGAAATAAAACTTTCGTACGGCATTCTTTACGTAAAGAAAGAAGGTAATAAGCTCAATAACTTGCGGTTGCTCTGCTCTAGAGTGAACGAAATGTGCAATGACACATGAGCTGATCACCAAATAAATAGACAGAGGTCAGCTAAACCTAATGGGCGAGTGTGCGTCTCTTAGGGGCTAGGCAGCTGGTGAACGTACGACAGTACATACAAAAACCGATTTCTTGATTTTCTTATCGTCACTTGATGTTTGTAGGCCAAATGTTACAAAAGACATAGACAATTGACAAATTTTCATTTTAATTGTAAGATTGTTTTCTATAGCCGGAACGATCGTCGCTTTGCTAGTTTCGGATGCCAGACGGTATCTTCGGCAGAGCAGTGTGATAGATGCACAGAGAGATGATGGTAAGCAATAAGACGTGAGCTCCCCTAATCTTTTCAATTTGGGGTGGTCACACTAGGTATCACCTATGCATAATTGTAGGAATATTGAGTGTAACGGAACCTCCCACCTGATCCACGAGTACACCGTACTTACAAAATTACTACATTTTCAAGCCTAGAATTGTTTCTGAGTTGAGTTTTTTGGTCCACTGTACATGTGATATATATGTACATGTTTCGGACGGCTTGTTTGTCGGATGGGCGCCCCGAAAGAAAAGTGGCTTGTTTGCTTTAATGTCGGACCAGCTATCGCCAACATGAGTATGGTAACACTTATTAATGGCTGCGAGGCATAGGAAGCACCGGCTGGTCATGCACGTAGGTACGTCACACATCCATGAGTCTGACGCCAGATATTTTCGTCAGTCTATACACATTGTCCGTTTCTCCTGATTAAGAAAAAAAATAATAATTTCTGGAAATATGTTGATTTGTTAAGTATGTGATCATAGTTTTCGAAAAATAAAATGGAGAAAAGAATTGTAAGCAACACCACAAATTGTTTACCATGTGATTATTTTAAAGGTTGCGACAAATACTAACACGGCGTATGCGTAGCTAAGTAGCAAACCCTTTTGCGACGTAGCAACAGCTTGAATCATCTAATGCAATTCATACCTTACCTTTGCATTAGCTGCGCCCCTTGTGCTTTTTTGCCCTTCGTATCGACTTAATCGTATTTGCCTGAATTCAAAACATTGGCATATGCTGGCAAAACATATTATGAGTATCAGACATTGAGGATTGTGCGCCACGGCGCAGATTACGACCTTGATCTGCATCTATCCGTCGTCTGTTAAACAAGAGCTAATGGCTGTATTACGAGAATCTTCTGCCTCAATTTTTCCTGCAGCTAAGGTCACATTAAACAAAACCTCAACGTATTATAAAAATGCCATGCTTATCCTAAATTTTCGTTTAGAAGCGGAAAATCTAGCCAAGGAAAATCATCTTTTGCGCAATGTATACAACGGACATTTGCGCTATTACCAGTCTTTAAGCCCAAGCAGCCAGTACAGCCATACTTAAGATCCCGATTGAAAAAAGCACAAGTTTTTCCATTACATTGGTCTCTTGAGATGCGCTTTCCTCTGACAATTCATGAAATGCCAAGTAGATAAAACTGCCTGATGCAATGCTTAAAGCCAAGGCCTCCATCGTCAATGCATGAGTTCCACGCAAAGAGTCGGACAGGACCATACCCATGAATATTCCAAGTGGCGTCATGCAGCTATAGAGTGTAAGGACAGCAATTGACCGCCGGTGGGCAATGCTACTCTTGGCCTTGGCAAAATTGGCTCCAACTGATGTGGCTTCAATAAACTACAATAATTAATGATTTTTGTCAGTTAGATATTCTTCAAGTAAAGTGGATGTCGTACTTTGTGGCTGAAAATGGCTACAGTAGTGGCCACGGCCGTCCGATCGAGCGAGTGATTGACTCCTAGTGCGAAGCCCGCAATTAAAGAATGAATCGAAAAGAGAGCTGCCAATAAGTATGGCAGAAAATAACTGTCCCCCGAAAATACGACATGTTCGCTGACTGTTGTTTCATGTTCGTTAGGATTATCTTCCTCTAGCAATTCCGATGCTGCTGATTCATGCTCCATCATAGGCAATACACCACCGTTGACAACCTATTAAATAAATTATAATCGGTCAATGACGACACCGTGCATACCACAATAAACTGTACAGACCTTCACGCTACTGGGTGTGAGCAAACACGTAGTCTCCTCCATCTTAGCTGCTCTGTGAAAAAGTGATGGCGTTGGCACGCTGTCGCAAGTACACGAATAGAACCGCTCTTTACCATCCACAGATGTCGAGCGATTTCTCCAACCAAACGAAGTCACGGATGGAATTTGTACTCGGTACATGCTCGTCTCATCTACAATATATTGCCATCACCAATTTCATTATTTTTTAAAGAAATCTTAAGAAAAAGCAAAAGTACGTACAATCGGGACGTGCAGCACTTGCCACGGCCATGAGTTTGCCAGAATTGCCCATATTAAGCAGATCAACACTCCAAACGATGGTGCATCCCAGTGCACAAAGCATGTAGATAATTGGAAATGCCGTCATCCAATGTGGCGGTGCGTCCATTTGTATTACTACTTGGTCGTATAGTTTGACCGCATCTGGCAATAAATGCAGCAGCCCTGAACCCAAAAACACACCAGCCGTAGCAAAAGGCAACTTTCGACTCAGTACATTTTGCGCCGACCGTGTGCCGCGACTTGATATCCACAATGGCAGCAACGCAAAAGTTGTTGTGATCGCCAATAACGCTCCCATTGCTGTATACTTAAACATGCGTACGGTCTCCATTGAGGTATCAGTTGATGCCATTGTTAGGCAAAGAGTTTGAAAACTGTGTGATGGACGAGCAGACGCGGGTGTTAACAAAAACGTACTTGCGGTTTTTTTAAGGGTGAATTCGAATTATCCTGTTTTGGTGGGTGAATTTAAATACACCCAATTCTAGTGTGATCTCCGCAAAGAGCTAAAGCAAAATATCACTCATGACTTTTTGATTTGGAGAGAATTAAATGACTGGTTGATATCTTGGTCCAAGTATACAGCTCATCAAAGTGTTTTTTCGTGCAGATAAATTATTCAATGAACCTACGATGGAAAATTACTGCAATTCAGAAAAAAGTCGTATGTTTTGGCAGATACTCATACTTTTAGCAATTCCTTTCAAATTTAAATTAGAAATCTGGCGAAAAATATTGATTCTCGCGATTCAAGAATCAATATTTTTCGCTTTAAAGTAGCTCAATACGTTTCTGCTCCCATTATATTATGCTTTTAATTACTTGCGTGTACGGATTCATGTTATGTTGATCTGTAGCAATTTGTCTCTAGCGGGCCCAGCTCTCTATGCATGATCGTGGCATTGAAGAAGGCGTAAATTAACCTTTAGTGGTAATAAATGTACGTATTAGCGATTCTTTATTTTTAGTGGCTAACGGACTTCCATCGTCCTTATAAATACTGAAACCTCGGTACTGATAAACATTAAAATTGCAATGTAAACTTCGAATAATTGTACTCAAATAAATTTCTTACAATTGTACCAGATGTATAACCACACTTTATTACAGTATTTTGTTATATACTATGTTTTCATTATCGCCACCGACCGCTCCATGAACAACCACTGCTCCTGTAATCCCAACCCGCATCTGCACTTTACTGTGTCTGCTCCTCAAGTATAATTGCATCGGAAGTCCCATCACCAAAGCATAAGGCTCAATGAGCATCCCCGCACAACAGGAGGTATTGAGACCGACGCGCTTGAAAAAATTCTCAGTGAGGATAAAAATATGACAAAGTATTTGTGTATGGGAACGATCGCAGAGAGTTCCGTAGCGCGACTCTCGGACTTCGTGCCCTTTTCTATCCGCGGAAGAATTGCGACATCACGCCGTGACACTCACGACAATGTCCAGCTCGTTTGTGACGAGCTTGATCTACCCAAGAAGCCAAGTCTTTCTACTACAAGCAGAGAAATCACGACGTCTTCTGTTTAATATATAACGCCTTGACCACGGTTTTCAACCGTATATGTTCGCTCGAAGAGCTCATGTGGAGCTCCTACACGCTTTCGCGGACCTTTTGCTCACATCAAGAGTGTCTCCAGCGCGGCAAGTCTGCGATGCGTGCACTTTCCCAACCTCAGATCATCGCTTTCCAGGATGGCCTGTAATAAGAGCGACAGCGGCTGAAGGAGCCCATACCCTCCATTAAGGATGCTTAAAGCTAGCGAAAGAGCCGATAAGTAACCAGCTCATTTCGCACACTGGACAAGGAAGATACATCGTCTTACCCGTCCTACGGCGTGACCATCCCCAGCGAAGCAAGAGAGTCATCTCATTCTTGGCATTTCAAAGTACAAATGTACGGCGGGTATGTCGATATGAAAACCCATCACATCAAGGTTCTGCTTTTATATACTTGCGCGTCACTACGAGATAGCTGTAACAGTATAGATCAGGAGCCTTAGTCACCGCAAGATCGATTTGCACCCATTAGTGAGTACACGCTGCGACGGATGAGGTTGTCTTTTTCCAAGAAAGAGAAGCTCCTGTCCTCGCGCTCGCAGCCCACGTGAACCGTTTCATGTGGTCTGCGATGCAAGTGCAAGTGATTTTGCCATCGGTTGTGCGTTGATACAACACGATGATGAGGATCGAGAGCGATTTATTTCGTATCAGTCGCGACAACTCCAGCCTGCGGATCGAAGCTATCCAATTCATGACAAAGCGCTTCTAGCAATGAAATATTATTTGACCAAGTTTCGTGTGTACTTGCTTGGAGAGAAGCGGTTTGCGATCTATACAGATCATGCGTTGCTGCGAACGGCTGAAAATACCCCTCATTTATTGTAGATAATGGCTACAACTTTGTCGTACACTACAAGTCAGGCAAGACAAACATCTAAGCTGATGCGCTGTTAAGACGTTTGAACTACGATCCAAAGTACAGGAGCGTAAACACGCACGAGTCGTGTCGACAATGCGAAGATTTTCAGACAATCGAAGCGCAAGCAACGACCTCAGTGCGCAAAGAAATTGTCGAAGGGTACAAGTCTGATGAGACACGTCAGGACTTATTGAGGTATTTCAATGACCCTTCCGACAAAGCCCTGCAAGGTCTTCCGTCTCGGACTAGATCGCGTATTCGCGGTTTGAAGTACACAAGGATTTGTTGTGTTTCGCGTTTGAACACGGAGATACAGCAAGAGTTGTTGTTCCAAATGACGATGGTCTCTTATATAAGCACCATGACAGCCCTTCGAGTGGCCATCACAAACGTGAGAAAAACTTTTTCGGTCTTTCCCGGGATAAGTATTGGTCACACATTTATTAGTGGTCCGCAAGTATGTGAGGACTTGTGAGATTTGCACGAGAGTAGAATCATCGGGTTCCACTCTTTCGGTTGTTAGCAGTGCCAACTGACAGCCGAAATTCTGTGAGTATGGGTTTATATTCAGATTTCCGCGTGACACTCATGGACGCAGAGCCATCCTTGTGTTGGTGGACCGATTCAGCAGGATGATTCATCTTGCGCCTGTTCTGAATAAGATCTCGGCCGAAGAGACAGTTAAGGTCTTTGTAGACGTTGGTTTCCGCCTGCATGGTCTTCCTGTTGACGTGTCTGACCGTGACACTCGTTTCACGTCGAAAGTTTGGCGTGCACTGTTTGGACAATTGGGCATCAAATTGTCCATGTCAACGGCGGAATACCCTGAAATGGACGGTCAAATAGAGCGCTTAAACCGAGTCCTGAAAGGCATACTGCGTTATGCTTCGTCCTTCAAAAAGTGAAATGAAATTCCCCCTCTAGCAGAGTTTGCGGCGAACAATTTCACGCATGACTTGACAGGTCATTCGCCATTTTACGTAAACTCTAGTATTTATCCTAGAACACCTGCTTCCATGATGGACGAGGTCTCTATCTTAAGCTACCTATACGTAAAATGCTACGGAAGCCCCGTTGCACTTGGTAGCACTTGTAGTGCATGCAGGATGGGTTAAAACGCTGATTCCCTGGTTGGCCTTGAGGCCGTGCAACACTTTGCTTCGCAAAGACCTGAAGCGATAAGCGCGCGCCTAGCGGGGTTTTCGAGCTATAAAATGCTCTGCTAGAGCACCTAGAGCAGGAGATGTCGGCGACGGCAGCATCCATGATGCCACCGTCGACAAAGCATGACTTTCCCCGAGTCAAGCCGCTCATGGTCAGCGTCAGGATCTTTGAGGGTAAGGATGAAAAGATTATCCACACTGAATGAGAGATACCGCAATGGCTATGGCATCCGCCATTCTCCAGAACGAGCAACAGCGCGTGGTGCATGCTATCGGTGGTTGAGCGCGAGAATGGGCACTGACGTGCGGTACTTCGGTGAAAGCGGCGCTTCCTCGTGGAGGGAGCTGAAGCTGCAGCTTTTGCGAGTGTTCTCGCCGCCAAACCAGGCATATCGCGCGCGATCACATTTCTCGCCGCCTGATAGAGCAAGAAGGGTGGCCATCTTTATGGAGGGCCTACGCACTGGCGTGGCCAGAATGGAAGTCTTCTATGTGCATCCGTCTTCGTTTGAAGAAACATTGAATGTGGCATTGAATGCTGAATTCAACTTTGATTCGGCACGAATTGGTTGGAATGCACACCCTCAGAGCTTGTCGAGGGAGCCTGAGCCAATGGATCTAAGCTATGCTGAAAAAGAGAAGGGAGAGCTCCGAGCTGCCGCATCACATGTCACAACGGATGGCTCACTGGTAGGCATTCTTCGCAGAATTAAACTTTACGGTCGCGTACAAACCCAAAAATCCGGACGTACTGGCTGAGGCATTGTTATGTCGTTCTATTTATGAGCAAGTCATATTAAATAAATTGAAAACGATGTATTCGACATGATCTGTCGAGCGTACATTGAGAAAGAACAGTATGAGCATATCATTAAAGCACTGTCATCGAGTGATATGTAATTGCATGACCAACTTCCTGGTCGCTTAATATCACGTATGCATCGTTTTGCATTTAAGGAGGGTATCTTTTACAGTGATGTTGGTCATTGCGACGAGCCTCAGATTGTGGTTCCCCACAACGACATTGAAGCACAAGACCGTGTACGAGGCGCATAATGACCGACACTTTGGCCGCGAAAAGATCTACCAGTCTCTTAGTGCCGGATTTTGATGGCCCCGCATGTACAAGTGGGTTGCACGATACGTGAAGACATGCGATGTCTACCATCGCGTGAAGAGAGCACGGTACGCGCAAGTGCAACGGTCGGGTGTGGACTATCACGAGACGTTTGCACCCGTCGCACGCATGGACACG